GAACCAGGAACCAGACATCTTCCAATTCCTCTGAAATACCCAGAAGCCCAAAAACCTACATCCCTGCAAAGGAGAGCTGACTGTTCCCCTCCTGCCACCACGATGTTCCCTAAAGGAACAGAACTTGTCCTCAGCATAGCCCCAAGGGCCAACTCAGAATCAAGGTAGGGAGAAGAGGAACACTTAGAACTCAGAAGAAATGGCAAGAACATACCAACTTACAGCTCTTAAAAGCTGAGACTGGTAGAAGAAGTGTGGAGAAACAGCCCAGGGAGCAGAGTATAAGTTGGGTCAAGCTGACTGCAAGGACCATGTGCTATTGGGAGTCTGTATTTTGTACCCGCTTGCCTGCAGGGCATGGCGCCAGCATTTTTCAGGGAGTGAATGCCAACCTGAACCAAATATGGGTCTGTGACTGGAACACACTGTTGATCTGAGATTAAGGAAGAATCCAGAGACTTGGGACTGGAATGCTGGACTGGATGAATCACAGGCATCTGCCACAYCCCATGTCCCTCTTCAACTATTTCCCCCATAAGGGCTGAGGACTTGCCCCCTGATTTGGGAAACAGCTTAGTAATGGAGACATCAGGATCACAGAGAGAACCTTATCGCCAGGTGTGGTGGCCTGCAGGTCATTGAAATGCACTTCTTAGTCTGAGCTAGGATGGAAGGATGCCCTGCTGGCTGAAGCCAGGAGATAGCACTAAACCTCCAGGAGTAGAGTGGGAGACAGAAGATGGTAGGCATCATATGGGTGGGAAGGAAATCAGTTCTCAAGGATGGCCTGATCCATGGTGCTTACTGGCTATGGTTCATAAAACCAGGGGCATCCCCCAAAGAAAACACTTCATGAAGCTTGGGGATACCTGTTGGTGAAGAATGGCTGTTGCAGGTTTGTTCCCTGGAAAGCTGATTTTAGGATGGAGGTTAGCATGCAGGAAACTTATGATGGAGAGGCCTTAAAACCAGCATTTATGAACTGGAAGGGAAAGATAGAAGGAGCACTGGAGAGAGGGGGGCTTTGGACAGTGATGTAGCCACGGTAAAGGGCCTGGCTGACCCCATAAGGACCACAGAAGCCAGGATGGTTCTTCAAAGTTGTCATTAGCTAGGACAAGGGGCAGGGAGGGACTTTATATGTCTATCATTAAACTTGGTACCCTGGGAGGGCAAGCTGTCACTCTAAGGCAGTATATAAGAAAGCCAAGACCTGAGGGCTGTCTGCCACAGCCCTGTGATATTGAAGGGATCTCGGGATCCACTGTAGACACTTCCCCAGCAAGGGATTCCTCATCCAGCTCTTGGGTCAAGGCCACCAGAACTTGGGAAAGGGGAGGCAGCTAGTTAGCCACACTAAGCTGAGCAGTCAACACATGCTGTTGAGATAGAGGCATTCAGGGCTCAAGGAGTCTGAGCTGCAGAAATTAGGCTACTTTGACTTTATCATTGTGATACCAGAAATAAAATTAATTAGCAATCACCTTTGATTTTATGAGATGGTATCACACACACACACACACAAAATCCCAAGCCTTGTGCACAAGGATCTGTAACTGACGGTGTCTCTCAGACAATCCCCAGGCCCAAGGAAAAAGTAAATCACATCTACAGGAGGTTTTCAGAGGAGGTAAGAGGGGACTCACTTTCCTCTCCTGCTAATTATAACTGAAAACTTTGAATACACAAAAAGTAAATGCCTGAAATGCTGGGCAGAATGGGTCATGCCTGTAATTCCAGATACTTGGAATTAAAACAAATAGAACAACAGTATATTCGATGAGGCAGGAGGATCACAAGTTCAAGGCCAGTTCAGCAACTTAATGAGACTCTGTCTCCAAATTAAAAATAAAAAGGGCTGGTGGTGTAGCTTAGTGACCGAGTGCCCCTGGGCAGTACTGGGGGTGGGGAGTAAATGCCTGAAAAATAAGTAATAATGGCAGATTGGAAGAAAAAGCCAAAACATAAAGAAAGCCTGATGGCAGACCCATCTCCTGGCTGTTGGTCTTTTTCTTGGTCTATTGGCCTTGGCCTGGGTGGCTGAAACCAAGAACTGCATAGCAGCAGGGGAAAACAGCAAAACTACAATAGAACCAGGCTTCTGGGGAAAGTGGTCCTTGGAGCATATGAGTGGGAGAAGAATATCTGCATTTTTCTCCTTTTTTCTCTCCCAGTCTCACCATGAGCCAGTGGTAACTGGCTTGTGGTAGTGGCATGGCACCACCGGTGCTGGGTGTGGTGGTACATGCATGCTAGACCAGTGACTTGGGAGGCTGAGGCAGGATGATAGCAAATTTGAGGGCAGTCTGGGCAACACGATGGGGTCCTGTCTCAAAAATTTAAAAAGGGCTGAGAAGGTAGCACAGTGGTAAAGTGCTTGCCTGGCATGCACAAGCTCCTGGATATAATCCCCAACACTGCACCAGAGAGAGAGAGAGCGAGAGAGAGAGAGAGAGAGAGAGAGAGAGAGAGAGAGGGGAGAGATTTTTTCCTAAGGGAACTGAAAACATCTCCACACAAAAACTTATACCCAACTATTCATAAGACCGATATTCATAAAAACCAAAAGGTAGAAATCAACTGATAGATAAATGTGTTATATACATACAATGGGACCCCTTCGGGTTGCCCCGACTGCGGTCAAATTTGTGATCGTCCTGCCTCAGMCTCCAAGTCACTTTTATCTACATACAACATTCCATTATAATATCCTGAGAAGGCAAACCCCATAGACAGAAAGTAGATTGGTGCTTGCCAAAGTCTAGGGGGAATGGGCAGTGAATGCTCGARGGTTTGGGGTTTCCTCTGGGGATGACAAAGTGTTCTGAAATAACCAGTGGTAATGGTTGCACAACTGCAATATACTAAATACTGAACTGTACGTTTTAAATGGGTCAACTGGGTATGTGAATTATATCTCAATAAAACTGCTACTTAAAAAAAAACATGCTGTAGAAAACATCCTTGAACATTCTTCTTTGTTTCTGGAATTGCTGAATCATAGGGTCACTTTATTTTTTAATTTCTCAAGAATGGGAAAAACCAATTTACTCTACCACCATGTGATAATTGTTTCCCCACACCTCTAGCTACACTTTCTGCTTTGCTAAAGTGGGCAAGTGAAAAAATGACATGTCACTGTAATTACATTTTCCTGGTTACCATTTATATTTATATAGATAATCTGTTCATATTYATTGGCCTTTTTAATTTCCTCATCTACTAATTTTCTGTTCACGTCTTTCATTCCTTCTTTCTAAATGCCTTTTTTTTTAACCTCTATTTACTTATTTTTATGTGGTACTGAGGATCGAACCCAGGGCCTCACACGTGCTAGGTGAGCACTCTACCACTGAGCCACAACCCCAGCCCTCTAAATGCCTTTTGATTAATTTGTAGTTCTTTGTACATTCTGGAGATACATTAATATATTGCAGATATTTTCTCATATAACAATTTTCGTTTAGTGTATCAATTTTTAATATATGCAAAACACTTAGCAAGGGCTTTCATTATTAATAAGAGAGCAAGAACTGGTCAATGTGAACGGTCAGCTTCTATCCCCATTTCCAGTAGGTTAAGTACTCCTTGCCAGGATGGCCACCAAAGGAACTCTGGCTTTCTTTAATTTTTTTTTTCCTTTTTATTTTGGCAAGAACCATCTTGCATCCAAGAAGAATGAAGGCACATCTAGCCCCTGGAAACATTTGGTGAGGTTTGCACTACTCAGACTGTCTGGAAYAGGGAAGTGACTGAGGGATGATTTTCAACCTTTTCCTGAAACACTTGGTAACAGCAAAAYACGAAGAATGGGCCCAGAGCTGATCATTGTTTCATGGATGTCTCCTCCCAAGAGACAGAAGCAGATACTCTCCTCCAGTTCCTGGTCTAATATCAGATTTACACATAAAGATGAAATATGTTCCATCAGGGATAATGAAATCAAACTCAAAGRAAATGTCCTTTATAGTTCACGGCTCTTTAAAGCAATGTGAAAACAGATTGCAGATGGGCTTCACCTTGCTGGCTGGTTCCTATGCCCTGGCTGTGGTTGACATCCTAGGGGCCCAGGGAAAGCTGTGAGTTTTTGTCCCCGAGAAGGAACATGTGGCCTCACCAACCAAGGATGGCTCGTACATGCAACTGCCTCAGTTCACGTTCCTGACCTTGGTGGATGCCTTGAACTCCAGATTTTAAACACTCACACACACACAGTTAGGCCACTGGTTTTGTTTGGTCTTCCAGGCCATGGCCTTCAACCTAGAAGAGTAAATAAGATTACATTTTTTCCATACAAGTTAATCTGTCCTCTCCTGGTCCATTGTTTGCTGTTACAATGTCGCTTCTTGCTTTCAGGCTAGAAGAGAAATGGTGACATGGTCACTGAGCCTTTCTTCCTCCCCCAATTAATGAAAATTCAAAGCAGATACTTTCCAATAGTATGCTAGGGGGAAAAAAATTCCTGAGGGCTGTTATTTTGTACCAAGGGAAGAGAACATGAACCTGACAAGTGCCTGCTGAGCCCAGAGGCCCAGCTCAGGGTGGAGACAGTGTTTGCAGTGTTTCGGTCAAAAGTGGCTAAAGACTTGTGCTCAACCTTCTTACCACAACCACTGCAGCCTGGGGTGAAAACCTCCCGCTGCTTACATTTAGTAAGTTATTAAAATAACTTAATAAGGGCTGGGATATAGCTCAGTGGTAAATGCCTGCCTAGCATGTGCAGGGCCTGGGGTTCAGTTCAAAGCAACATACACAGACACAAGCCCAAAAACACAATAATGAAACAAAAAATTCCATAAAGTCTACAAAACTGTTTAGAAAAATTTTATTTGAACATATGAAAGGAAAATTCAGAGACACCCAATAAACCAGAGAAGTTTCTTTCCAAGACGGCGGGAAATCCCTACAGGTGTCCCTGAGCCACACACAAGCTTGGGTCACACTGTTCCAGCTATGAGCTCATGGAGCTGCAGCACAAGCCTGTGTTTTTGGCAGCCATGTCACGTTTGCATGGAGAGACCAGACAAGTGGACTTGCAGGTGTGGCTTCCCCATCGGTGCTCCTCCTGGCACAGGCTCCATGTCTGAATGACATGCAAGTGAACCAAAGCTCATGGAACTGGCATACTTAAAAACACTCCCAGCACTTTCTAGGCAGAGGTCTGTACGTTTTTCCTTTCATCCATCCAATCTGGATTTTTAAGAATGTGAACAGGTAGGCACCTGGACTGCTACCACTTGGAACTTCCGCACCAAGACGGTCTGACAGCCAGGAGGGGCCACCTGTTGCCTCCCCAGGGTCCTCTTTTTGGGACCACTACCCTCTTCTGAGGGCTTCCTCAACTCAGGTGCAGAAGGCACACTGCTGCATGGTGGCTCAGGAGGGGCTGGCCTAGCGCATGGGCCTGAATGGAAATGTCACTCCTGAGATGAAGGTATGTCCAGGGTGTGTGGGCAGGGCAGGGTGGGCAGCAGGATGGGCYGGCACGGCCCCGTAGCCCAGCGGGGGCGTGTGGATATGAGGGTAGAACCCAGGAGGGAGCGCTGCATGCGGCGACTGTTGCACTGGGCCCGAGATCACCAGCTGGAGCAGGCTGCAAACAAGGAGAAGTGTTAGGACTGCAGATTCCAGGGCAAGGTTCTGAACACACGTACTTTGAGGCTTAGTCTAATCCCCTGCACCCAGTGCCCAGGCACAGTGGCACCTCACATGTCCACAGGGCAGAAGAAGCACCAATGAAGACAGTCATATGGGTTTCTCAGTAGGTGAACAGTGAGCACACAGTAGGGAAGGGGCTGGTAGCTAGGGAAGAGCTGGGAAATTAACTAGGGGTGGCAAGATTTAGCCTGGGAATAGGCAGAGCCTGAGAGGAGGGACCAGAAAAGGGAAAGCCAGGACCCCCAGCAACAACATATGGAGGGAGCAGTCTACACCCCGAACCCTTGTTTTACATGAAAGCTCTTGATGTGACATCTGCAGYTTCTCTGCCCTTGGAGCTTGGGGCCTACCACAGGTCAGCTTCCATTTCAGTCTTAGCTGCCCTCCACTTACAGTGGCTGTAACTGAGATACCCTGGCGATCAGGACAGGAGGCCATAGTTTTCTCAAAGTCATTCTTAATGAATGAGTCCTAATTGAAGTCCAAGCATAAGTCCCACAAAAGCCGGTCTTTCAAATGATACTGAAATCAAGAGTCCAGCACAGCACCCGCTTAGACACAGCCTAGGCCTGGCCCAGCCCCTACTAACCTGAGGAACCCATTCCCCAGTTGTGGAGGGGCAGACCGTCCTGCTCAGGAGATCCACCATGCCAAAGTCATAGCCTACCTACCCAACCTCGCCCTGGGTCTCTGAACAATCACGTCTCACCAACACCCCCAGTTCCCCTCCATTCAGGACCAACCCACTGAAGTACCTGAACCTGCCCCTCTTCAGGAAAGACCTTTCCCTTTCCACAGCCTCCACGTTCTAGAGATCCTCTTTGAGAAGTCAGCATCAGTTTTCAACACTGGGTCCTTCTGAGATTCATTTCTCCTTGGCTTATCCTTTCTAGCCCATGACCCACAGGATGATCAGCAGGATCTACAGTTTCATTCACCCCCTCCAGCTTCCCCCAMCTCAGCCTACTCCTTCCTCCTATTATTAGCTTCAAGTAAGCGACTCCCCAGGACTTCTCCCCATCAGGGCTTTCCACACCTAGGACATAGGCATCCTATTCAGCCTTTCCCCTAGCCTCCAGGACCTCCAGTTTTGCTACTGACACTCTGCTCTACTTGCTCTTCTCCTAATGTCACCCCAGGACCTTGGCTTAGCTGGGTCCTATGTCTAGAGGGTCTACGCCAGTCTTTTTCATCACCAAACCCAACCTGCTAGACCACAGGAGGGTCTTGGGCATGAAAAGAGCTAGTGTAGCTTGGTGGCCCAATGCTCTTCTGATCCCCTTTTCATTTACGCTACTACTTTTTTATAACTAGAGTAAGAAACTTGATCCAAAATTTATAAACCCAATAAGTACTACAAACAGAATGGGAGTTGTATGTTTGAATATATACTCCCTGCCAGAGATTAAAAGTGGTTCCAGAAGTTTCTGGGCTAGTTGGAAAATCAATTAGCAGAAAGAGACCACCAGAATTCAAAGTATTTCATATGAAATTACAAGGAATTTTTCTTGGAGTTCATAAAAAAGAAAAGGAGCAGTGGGGCCTTCTGAGGGAAAGCTGGCCTTAGGGAGCCTGTTGTTGGAAAAGTGAGCTGCTGTGTCCTCCTCACTTTATTACTTATATGAACACCTCACCTCCATTCAGGCTAATTGCCCCTGCACGAAGACAACAGTATGGGCCGGATAACAGGGTCCCCACCACGGTACCAGGCTGTACTTCCTCAGCATGCAGCTGACCCTTGGCCTCCAGTTATGCATGTCTCTAAAGAGCCGGTGGGGCAGGCCCTAGGTGGCCATGATAGTCACAGTGGAGCAGCACTGCCCTGTTTCCCTGTTCACACTGCCTGCCAAAGCCAGTCCCAGAGCCCAGCAATTCCCTGTTAAGGACCAATCTGATGATCTAAAGAAAGAAGAGCATGAATGATCTTACCAACTTAACCCAGTTGTTTTCACCTCTATAAATCTGTCCTTGTGCCAAGTAGTTCTGTCTTCAACTGTAAACATTTCCCTGCACAGTCCTCACAATTACTATTCTAAGTGGATACATAATGTTCTACCCTTGTGACACATCACAACTAACTTACCAAGTCTCCCTGTGCTGTGGACAGTTAAGCTGCTGCCAGTTGTCTGCTACTAATACTGAATTTTTTTGAAACAGTTTTGTACACATACCTTTTAGCTTCTTTTYTAAGGATAAATTCATAGAAGTGAAAGTTCTAAGTTACTAAAGGAACAGTGAGAGTGAAAGCAGGTAACACTAGATGCCATACATCAAATACTGTTCCAATTACTTTCTGTTTTTACTCATTCAAACCTTATAAAACTCTAAGGCTTAAGGTGGGGTAAGGCAAGGGGGACTGGAAACACGAACTATAATTATTGTAGTTTTACAGATGAGAAGACTGAGGCAGCAGAAGGCAGGAACTTGACCAATGTCATATAGAYAGGAAGTAGCAGGGCCAGGATTCTAACAGAATCCGTGTGACACTATGCCTACTTTTCACTCTGATTGTGGGTGTGGAGAGAGTCCCATGGGGTGKGACAATGTGAAATTTACAAACACCACCTCATTTTACCCTAGCAAGGCAGGGATGAGTCCTGCCCCATTTGACAAAGGAAAGACCAAGCTCAGAGACAGATGAAGAGTGTCCAAATGTCACAGCAAATCTAGCAGCATCACTCAGAAACCAGGTCCCTGCTGCTAGAAGCCCAAGCCCTGACATTACCAACACTGTACTCTTCTATGGTCCTTTGAAGGATTGGGTAAGTCAAAATGTCACYAATGGAGTGCCAGAATACCACCCTCACTACCAAATAGAAGCTCAGTGAYTTAATAAGCTCTGAGTGACACCTAGAGTGCCCTTCTCTTGACTCCTGCAAGAAGGCGAYTTTAGGTCAGGCACAGTGGTACCTGTGTGTAAGGTACACATGCCTGGCCAAAAGTGGCCTTCTTGCAGGAAGGGGTTGGGGGTGTAGCTTAGTAGTAGAACATTTTTCTAACGTGCCAGGCAGGTCCTGGGTTCAATCTACAGCACCACAAAATTTTAAAAAGGGGGCATGTTTCATGTTTACACTCTACTTAGGACTCCTCTCATGAGAGTTAGGCTAACATTTATGTTCCCCACTTACACTAGGTCCTAAAGGATGTCTTTCCTTACAGAGACATGCTCTGGACCCTGAAGACCACCTATCCCTAAGGAATGCAGGACAAATGGGTCCACTCTGCTTTGCCATCTGCCACCCTCCCTCTCTGCCCCAGCAAAGCTAGCCCAGCTAGAAGTCCTGGAGGACACCTACTTGTTATGAGGCAGCCTGGAGCACAGGGTTCTCAGGTCATCTGAAATTAAGGAGACATATTATTAAGCAGCAGACTGGAGAACTGTTGGCTGAGGTACTTTTCAAGGATGCTAACAAGGCAGCAAACAAAGACTGATACTCCATGTTTCCAGCATCTGTAGAAACTGGCCCCTCTTTTCTTTCAGTTTTTGCTTTAACAAATAGGCCCAAAATAGAAGAAGGGTTTGTTAGCAATTTGTCAGGAGGCAGGCAGACACCCAAGGCACAGGAACAGTGGTAAGATAGTAAACTCATCACCATCAGCTGGGGACACAGGCAACTCTTGTGAGTGCATTAACAGCTAAAAAGTGTACTCAAGTGGGTCACTGGCACCAGGTCAATCTCCAGGGAGAGTTCAAGCACTGAAATGCAAAAGAATTCAGGAATCCTCAAAACAGCAATGGGAATGCACACTTYGACAGGGCAGAAGTTACGTAAACACATACATTTGCTAAAAGCACCTCTAACTTTGCACTTATATCTGTGCATTTTACTTATGTCAATTATGCCTTAAGAAAAAAGAAGAAAGAAGAATCCTCAAGAGGAAAAATGATCAATCCTCTCCAGGAGTCCCCAGTTCTGGGTCAAAAGAGCCAGGTGACGCCCAGATGTCATGTCTGGCAAATTAACACTCTGATGGGGGAGTGCAGGGAGAGCAGGGTGACACAGTACCACTGAGATGCTCTGAGATTTCTACCTTCCTCCCCTGCATCCATTAGGAAAAAAAAAAAGGAAGTCCTAAAACAGTCAAAAATAGTGTCTGTCTAGGAGCCCTATCTTCTTTCTGCCTGGGTGATGCTGTTGCCACTCCCAGGAGGCCTGGGCAGGGAAGGCACCCACCTCTCGTGCACAGCAGGGCTCCTGAAGCCATGGCCACCTGCAAAGCCTGTGCCAGCCTGTCCAGCGAGAGCTCAATCTCCTGAGAAGCGTTGAGGGGGTTTAGTTCATCTGCCAGTCTGTTGATCTCCTCTACCAGTGGGACCATGTGGTCAAACAGGATCAGTCCCAGGCGCCCATAGAGATTCTTCTCAGTTAAGTGCAGTTGGAGCGTAATGAGAACCTGTAGGACGCTGAGGTGGAGTTTTGAGTACAAAAGGTGGGAGTCTCTGTCCATCCCCACACCCGAGTCCTTTGCAACCTTATTATTGACATGGCCATTGGATAAGCAAGGCTTCTTCTTTCTTTTGTAAGCCAGAGGGGCCTTTACGCACCAGCGGATCAATCCAATGAGTGGGGTGAGCTCTAAAAATCCTATTGGTAGATTGGCTGCAATTGGAGTATTTAAAAAAGTGATGAGAATCAACCTTGGGTCCTCAAAAATCCAGTTGACAATCATTTCAAGCAAGTCCAAAGGTGGAATGAGATCATCTGCAAACAAAGACCGCTGAGTCAGAAGTGTTCTTGATGTTGGAGACAGGAGTGGCAAGAGGACAAGGGAAGACGAATCTCTAAGTTCATGGTCTTCCTGCCTGGTGTTCAGATCATTACTGCCTAGTTTATCTATTTTCTGTCTCCTTTCCTAGAACATCCGCCAATGAGGGCTGGGACTCCTATCTTAGCCAATGTTACATTCCCAGTGCCCAGGACCCTCTGGCCAATATAGAGGCTGAAATAACACTTGTTAAGTCAACAATTTCATACAGCTCCATTATGGTTTGAAGAAATATCCTCCTGGGTGTCAATTTAAATAAAATTCCACACTTTTTATGYCCAAAATTACCACTACACTCCATTCCTTCCCTTGTGATCAGGGTTCTTCCCTACACTCATCATCTCCTCTACTGTACAGTAATGGCTATGGTGGCCCTCCGAGAGCAGCTCAGAGTCCCGGCAGTCTTCTGTCCACTACCAACAACCACCCCAACCCCAAAGCTAGTCTAAAAAAGCAACAGTTTGGCCTTCTGTGATCCCTGAGACCCAGCACATTCCAGGGCCTAGACCAAGAACAATAATAATGAGGACAGATTAACCCATTTAAGCCTCACAAAACTGTCACCCCCACACAAAGGATGAGGAAATGGAGACAGTGATGTTAAATAATTTCTCAGGACTCAAAGGATGTGGTAGGCTCAGATCTGATTTCAGGTAGCCTCTCTTAGACCACTAGGCTACACTGCCCATCCCGGGATTGGCATATTATACCCTCAGGCTGGCTATGCCCCCAGCCTCCTCTCTGGAGCGGCACACCCCACAACTCAAGGAAAACTAAGGATGACAGAACCCCTTTCGGGCCAAGCATGAAAGAGGAGACGGTGTGAAGCAAGTCACGTTTAAGGATAAAATTTCCAGCTATTTTTTCTCTGGAAGCTGGTTTTTTATTCCTGAGATTGTTCCTATAACTGTTTGGGATTGCCCCTTCTATGGTGAATAGACAGCAGCAGCAAGGAGCACTGTTGTCTCCAACCCTCACTTGGCATTCTTGTGTGCTTGATTCCCTGAGATGTTTCTGTCTGGACAACTCCAGGTTTGTGCCCGCTCCTCTGCTGTATGCCCCAGGTCAAAGCGAGGTGTCCAATGGCCTGAAGTCAGTGTGTGCATGCGTGGACGTGTGCCATGGGCACACATGTAAATATGCATACTTAGTGACTCAATCCTAAAACTCCACACTTTCCTCCTCAGACTGGTTCTTGCTCTCAACAAGAAGAGGCTCTGCACGGTTAGGTGAGCTTCTTTGTGTGTGTGTGGTAGGAAGACACACAAGCCCTCAGAATATTCTTGTTAGCAGGAGCACCAAAGAACAGCACCAATCACCATTTGGACAGCAGCCTCAGGTCTGGCCCTCCAGGACCACGATTGTGATGAGTGGCTTGAGGAATCACTGACACACCAGACTTTTATGTCGGCTTACAAGAAAAACACCATGTCTTAGATACACCCTGTCAGTGGTATTCCTTAAACATTATATCTTATTCCACATGCTAATTCATTCATTCATTSCCAGTGTTAAGAACAATTTCTGTCCCATTGGCCTGAAATAACTGATGACATGAAACACCAAATATAACGCTATGAACTGGATTTGAATTAAGCCTCTCCCATTGGAAGACCGAAAGCCTGGACACAGCTCCCAGCTAATAACAGCTCTTAGAAAACCTTTGCAGGACCAAGTTAGGGAAAATTCTACCCTAGATGCACAGCACTACTCTATAAGAGACCTGTTTACAACTCCATAGGAAAACTGCCTTTTTAAAAATCCCTTGGTATTGGGGGATAAACCCAGGGACATGGAGTCACATCCCCAGCMCTTTTWAAATAYTTAGAAACATGGTTTCGTTAAGTTGCTTAGAGCCTTGCTAARTTGATGAGGCTGGCTTTGAATTTGCAATCCTCCTGCCTCAGCCTCCTGAACCACTGGGATTACAGGTGTGCACCACTGCGACCTGCTGGCAAACTGCTCTTAAAGAGTATGGAATCAGGGGCAGGGGCTGTGGCTGTGGCTCAGCGGTAGTGCACTTGCCTGGCATGTATGAGGCACTGGGTTCGATTCTCAGCACCACATATAAATAAATAAAGATCTATCAACAACTAAAAAAATATTTTAAAAAAATGAGTATGGAATTAGCATAGGAATATGATATACACTTGCATATTTATACTATTTCCATGTGAACATTCTAAATAATTAAAATGTTTAAAAACAAGGAAAAAAGTTACAAATAAAAGGAGGTTTGGGGCTGGGATTGTGGCTCAGCGGTAGAGTACTCGCCTAACACGTGTGAGGCCCTGGGTTCCATCCTCAGCACCACATAAAAATAAACAAAATAAAGGTATTGTGTACAACTAAAAATAAATATAAAAAAAAAATTTAAAAAAAAAAAAGGAGGTTTAAATATAGTCAGAGAGCTGGTGAAGACCAATACTGAACTAAAAAGAATAGAGGAAGTATCATCAAAAGTTCTTATTCTGACCGGGCGTCCGGGCGTGGTGGTGCACACTTATAATCTCAGCAGTTCAGGAGGCWGAGGCAGGAGGATCATGAGTTCAAAGCCAGTCTCTGCAAAAAGCAAGGTGCTAAGCAACTCAGTGAGACCCTGTCTCTAAATAAAATACAAAAAAGGGCTGGGGATGTGGCTCAGTGGTCTAGTGGCCCTGAGATCAATCCCCAGTACCAAAAAAAAAAAAAAAGTTCTCATTCTGCTGTTTTAGCTATAAGATCAAGATAAAAAACTATTGTCAACTCTCTGAGCAAGAGCAAAAGGCAAAGAAGAAAGAATTTGGAATACAGCAGAAAAGCRGGTGTTGAACCTGGCTCTACACAGAGAGCCACCCATGAGGGACCATAACTTTTCCAAATGGAAAAATAATGGGCATAGCCCCTGCCTGAGAACCAAACAATACTGCAGGGGTTGCATGAGGACTAGTTGTAGAAGAACTTGGTGCATGAGAAAACCCCAAATTTCTTGGAACTCATCCCTGGGAGAAAAAGTGGGCAACAGAGCCAAGTAGGTAGGGATCTGAGTCTCCCACCCTAGTCAACTTTTTTTTTTTTTTTTTAAACTGGACATCTGACCAGGGAGCTCTGCTATTAGACAGGGATAAGGGACATGGGCTTCTTCCAGTCAAAGCCAAACTCTATTCTGTGGCTATTAAGAGGACTTCTACCATCTCAAAAATTTCACTAAGAGTAGAACTAGCATGTGTACCTTCCAGCACAAAACACTGAAGACATCTCATCACCTAGGTAGAACTGTTGTCAAAGAGGTGCAGCCTCAAACTTTTCATAAGGAAATAACCATGTATGTCCAAATTAAGGGGCACTCAGCAAAACAACATGCCTGAACATGTCAAGGCAATAAGAAATTACTTTTAAATGCTGGGAAGCTTGTCTAGATTTAAAGAACCTAAGGATACATGCCAACTACATTCAATGTGTGACCCCTGACTGGCTCCTGAATTTTCTTGATCCCTCTAAGTAAAAAAAAAAAAAAAAAAAAAACTATAAAAACATTGAGACAAGTAGGAAAATTTGCATATAGGCTATATCATAGGAGAATTCCACTGGCATTAAATTTCTCAGGTATGATAATGTTAACATGGTTATATAAGATAATGTTCTTATTCTTTAGAAGACATGTGTTTACATATTTGGTWTATGATATCAGCAATAAATTCTTACTAGTTCAGAAAAAATTATGTGTATGTGTGCGTTGGGACAAAGCTAATACATGGCAAAATGTTCATAGTTGAATCTAGGTGAGAAGTATATGAGTGTTTGTTGTATTAATATTGCAACTTTCTGAATTTTTCAAAATAAAAAGTAGGGGATAAAGAGGCAGGCCACATTTCACCGACTTCAGACCCTGGCATTTGGGCTATTTGCCACTTCTACCCATTCCAACTCAGGCAATGGGGATACTGAGGAAACTCATAGGTCCAGCTGTCCAGAGTTTTGGTTTTAGGCCCAAAATAAAGAAGTACATTTCTGAGAGAAAAAAAAAAAAAAAAAAGCCAAAGCATTCACTGGAAAAGAAAACTGGCAATTAGTTGAAGCTTCTCTGATGGCAATAACCTGTATAACTTTTTTTTTTTTTACTGTATAACTTTTTTACCTGATGACAAGTCATAGAGCGCAGTGACAGATGTTATGAACTGACAGCAGAATCGAGGGCTGGCACTGAATATCTGTTTCAGTGTCTGTACGGAGCCTGGCACCAAACAGCAGTAGTCATCCACGAGAGCCCTGGCAAGTCTTACACAGTAGACCACAGGTGTTCGCTGGAAAGAAGACACAGGCCACGTAACTACAAGTGTGGTGACCCAGTAGGCAGCAACTATGTACAAATGCTGAAGACCACCAAAACTARCAGAACCACTTCCAGGAGAAATGTTAACAGCTTCTTTTAGTAATGCGAAGTCCACAGACCAAATCTGCCCCTCTCCCCACTTTTGTGAATTAAGTTTTACCAAGATGTGGCCATGATCATTTGTTTGTCCACTCTTTAAGGCTGCTCTTCCACTACAAGGGCTAAACAGAACTGAACAGCTGCGACAGAGATATATGATCTGCAAAGACTAAAATATTTGCCAAAAACATTTGCTGGCTCTTGCTTCAAAGTTTACTTAGGAAAGATCACTTGACCTCAGGTGAAGAAATGACAACTCTTACAATCTTAAATGTTCCAGGTGACACAACGCAGGTAAAAATTCACAGCTGTTACCACTTTGAAAAGATTTATGAGTCTGAGAACCCACATGATTAAAATGTTTGTTTAGAGCAGCAATTTGCATATTCCTCTTACAATCCTCTTCTTTTGACATATTTCTACAATACTGTTGAATCCTATATCACTACTCTCCCCCGGCATTCTCCCTCCAGGTATGTGTCTATCAGTAGCTCTGGTCACATTTAGCAGCTGCTCATTATGCAGCAGCTCCAGGGCACTAACTGGGCCTACAGCAGAAACTCTAAGGAGACAACAAGGTCAGATTGTTTATTTGGCCTGTCCTCTGCCACTAAGAACACCGATATCTCCACCTGGCCTCAAGAGAAAGCTAAAGCCCCTAACCCCAGGTAGCAACCCTGACCCAAAACACCAAGATCTTTTTGTTGACATCTGCTTTCATTTTATCAAAATGCCAGCACATCATCATCAAAAGACATCAATGAAAAACTAGAAGATGCTAAACTTGGTTTCAATAGATTGTCAAGGGATAAAGGGAACCCTGAGATTAAATATAATATTAATGATTAATTTGGATGCCCCAGAAATTGGACTGGCGAGAATTAAGGTATAAACTTCACTGAGATTCTCTAGTGTACTACAAATAATATGATTTTGTTAGCCAAATTTTATGCATAAACAAGATTATAAGAAAAACTATTAATTAAATTGGGAAAAAAAACAGATTTTGRGGCTGAGATGTGCCTCAGTGGTAGAGCACCTGCCTTGCATGGGCAAGAACCTGGATTCAATCCCCAGCACCTCAAAAGTTTTTTTATTTTCAAGTATTGGGAATAAAGCAGGTTTATGAAACTGATAAATTGTTAACTTGGCTAAGGAATATATTAGTCAAAAATTTGATCAATAACTAAGTAGATTATTAATTTTTTAGACCTTGAGAAGCAAAAAAAAAAGCAAAACAAATGAATTTCCCAAAATATCACCAAGCACTAAACCTATTGTAAATATATACTTTTTCCTTTGATATGTCCATTTGAAGGGCTATCAACTATGTGATGTCACCCTAGAGCTATGCAAAACAATTCACCTGTTTACTGACTACAGAAAAGTACTACCTTCTAACAGTGGGTAAACATTTGTACAACTTAACATATAATGATATTTTTTAAAAATCCCTTTTTTGAGACTCCATAATACTATTTTCATTTATAATTTTCCCCTAAGAGGAGCATGGGAGGATTAGATAAATTCTAGATAGGGAAGAGGGGTGGGAGGGAAAGGGAGGGGTAGGGGATTAGCAAAGGCAGTGGAATGTGATGGACATCATTATCCAAAGTATAAGTATGAAGATTCGAATTGGGTGTCAACATACTTTATATATAAACAGATATGAAAAATTGTGGTATATATGTGTAATTAGAATTGTGATGCAAAAAAAAGTACATATATAAAGGCATGAATTGGTGTGAACATACTCTATATACAAAGCTAAGAAAAACTGTACTATATATGTGTAATAAGAATTGTAATGCATTCCACTGTCCTGTATTTTAAAAAGTAAAAATCAATAAAACTAAAACAAACAAACAAAAAACAAAACAACAACAACAAAACACATTGAAAAAAAATTTCCCCTAAGAATGATTTTTCACTTGTTCTAAAGATGAGGCCTTTTTTTCTTCATTAAGAAAAAAAATTAACTTGCCATTACAAACTATTATGTCCCCAAGAATTGTCATGCTTTGAAAATAAAAACAGGATAGGAATACAGCTAAGAGTATCCAGGGCAGTAATGATTAAGAACATGATATGTGTGAAAAGACCTCCCCAGTGATTCAGTTAAATTAATGACCCTGATAGTAAACAACGGGTAAACATTTGTACAACTTAACATGTAATGATCATTTTAAAAAAATGTTTTTTTTGAGACTGTACGCTATTTTCATTTATAATTTTCCCCTAAGAATGATTTTTCACTTGTTCTGAAGAAGATTATAGGAACTCTGGGGAGCTTACCTGGAGCCAGGAGGCTGCACACTCCAACACTGGAACTCGACACACAGCCACCGCCATGGACACCAGTTTTCCCAACAGGCTCATCCGGCTGTCATCGGCTTTGTTCCCCTGAGGGCTGAAAAGTGATGAGAAAATAATCTGCCGCACAGAGTCCTTGGTTTGCTCCTGGAAATAATTGCACATGATTTCAAGAAGCTGAAGCTCCTGAAGTGAATTCAGTCTCTGTAAAACAAACCCGGGACAAGCTATAAGAAATGTGGCTTTCACATACCCGTTAGTTCACCCGGTGAGAAACCAGGAACTACCATTAGTTACCCCAGGATATTTTTCGCCCCTCTGAATCCCGGGTCCTGGGGAGCGGAACGCTACTGCCAAGCTCAGGAAAAAGTCATATCTCATCAAGTATCATCTCGGAGGCCACACAGTTTTAGACTCTAGGTAACAGGCCTTTAGCGAGGTAAGCGGACAGTCCCCGAAGTCTCATCCCAGAACACTTCTKAGCCGGACTGTCACACGCCTGCAAAACAGGCACGCGGTTGAGCAATGCTGCAGGACTGCAGGATAGGGGGCTGGGGTGTGTGTGTGGGGGGGGCGCTGCAGGAGCAAGGCCAAGGGCGAGAACCCAGCAGCCTGGCAACTGCTTGTCACCGAGGGGAAGGGCACGATCGGGCAGGCACCTTGGGCTGCGCGCCGCGCTCCTTGGGCACCTGGAACACGAACTCCTCCAGCAGCTCCACGGGGCCCTTGTCCACGATGGGCAGCGGAGCGCTCTGCAGCTGACTGCTGAAGTAGATGTCCAGGTGGTACAGCACCTCCTTAGCTGCGCTCAGGGCGTCCCGGCGCAGCAGCGAGTGGCGGATGTCGCTCATGGTGTGGTGGCTGTGGCCCAGCACCCGCGCGTCCCACTTCCGCCCGGCAGCCGGGGACGCGCTGCCGCCTGTGGAGACAAAGAGGCGCGACCCGGCCTCCGCCCCGACCCGGGCCGGGCAGCGGCGCCCGCCCGCCCGCCACTACCTTCTGCCGGCCGGCTCAGGGGGCCATCACCCCCGCCACCGGTGGCCAGCGGGCGAACGGGGTCCSACTGCGGGGCCGCACAGAGCCGCGGGAGCCGACGCCGCGCAGCCGAACGGCRGCGGAATGCCGGGCGACGACGGCGGCCCGCAGGGGCCACGTGAAGGCTGCGGCCGCGCACGCTCCAGAGGGCGCCCCCTGGTGGCGCAGCAGCGCAGTAGGCGGGAGGGGCGTCGCRCAGCGGAGGCAGACCCCGCCCCTTTGGAGACCGCCTCCGGTCGCGAGCGCGTGGTAAGAGCCGCCACACCTCCCGGGAGTGCGTCTTGAAACTTTCCCAGGAGTCCTCCTGCTCTTCGTGGAAAAGTGCTTTCCACCAGCGAGGATAGGGCAGCAGTACAGGGCTTTGGGTTGGGGGGCCAGTGGACTTGGGTTTCTCCCTGCCCCAGCCATTCGTCTTAAAGTTTCATCTTTTCTGAACCCAGTGGCTGCCAGGACAGGTGATGCTGGTAAGGGCATTCCCCCACCCTTAGTCTCCTACCACTCCTTCTGGCCCCAGGGTCTATTCCCCAGTCCTCTCTAGACGCCTGGCCTCTGTAGCTGCTGGCTTCTTGGTCTAACCTGGCATTTGGGTGGCTTGCAAAGTCTAGCCCAACTGCCTCCTGCTTCTGAAAAACCTCTCACCCTAAAACCCATCAGCASTTTATATGAACCTCTTTTCTGGCATCCACCTCTCTGCATTGAACTAGTCACCGCTTTACTTTTGGAATTTTAAAACAAGGCAACAAAAACTTGAATATGGCCAGAAGCCAGTGGAGAGCAAGGCCGGAGGCCACAAGTACAGGAATGTGAGTAAAGGCCTATGTGCTGGCTGAAGGCAGGTCTGAGTGAGGATGTGAATAAAGCAAGAAAATGCCCTGGCTGGGAGGGACAGACTAGGGGAGGGCATAWGAGAGGGCACAACCAGGCATAATCCCAAGACACTGAGTCACTGAGACCCCTGCACACCAGGGTGCAAGGCTGTACAGCCCCTCCTTGTTCATATACCTAGACTGTAGAGAGACAGRCCCAGGTCTCATTGTCACCTGGAACCTCAGAAAAGTCATCTCTTGACCCTGACACCAGGACCGGAGGTGCTCAGTGCCAGCATAAGATGAGCAAACAGGATATCTGCCACAGCAGCTGGCAAAGATCAGGCACTCAATAAACATGAGTTTTCCCTTCCCCMCTGAAAGCCCATGTATACACACAGCACAGACCACAACAGCTGATTAATAATCACAGCAGAAAACAAAACAATGCTGAGAAAATAAGTATCCATATGTATAAATAAAGGTGTGTACATCTAAAAGGCAGGAGTACTCTTTCCATTCTTATTTCTTCTTCCTCTCATAATATGGAACAGCAGGTAGAAAGATTTCTCGGAGGTTGCTCCAAAGCCCGTGGGAATGAATGTTCTGGTAGATTTGAGGCTCTGCTGATGGGGGCCGGACCACCACAGGACAGAGTTGGCACCAGCCCCAGTCACCTTTGTACCACTCATTTGTGGTCTGGTTGGTGGCTGCCAGGTACAGAGCAAAGCACAGGTAGCCCCCCAGGAGGAAGCTCAGCACCATAACAAAGCCGAGCAAGAAGACAATCCTTGGAAATGTCAGGAACAGGTACTAAGGGCAAAGAAGATGCAGAATGTTAGGAAGAAAACGGTGACATCCATGAAGGTCAGCACCCACTAGCCCAGATCTGGTCCATGAACACAACAGAGCCACAACCTCAGCTCATCTACATATGTCTAAATCTAACCCACTGAGCCATAATCAGCACCCACAAATAGCCCAGGAATCACCCTGATRTGCAAGCATTTACTCTGGAATGAATCAAGTATTCATACTGAGGGAAAGACTATCCAGGAAATGGAGCTATGCCAATTGAAAATTTACAAACACAGACCTTAGTTCATGAACCAAAATAAAACCCAGATGAACAAGAGAAACCAATGCCTATCTGAAAAGAATCTGACCGCAAAAATACATGTACTAGGATATTCACTGTGGTACTGATTCTAACAGCCTGTCTTCCCAAAAGAAACATTAATATTCCTCTACAAGGAAGAGCAAAATAAACTCTGGGATAGTTACCACTATGGAATAATAAAGAGTCATTGAAAACCAAGGTAATTTCTATGTACTGATTTTGAAAAGATTATGATATATTGCCCAATGAGAAAGGCAAAGTTCAAGGATCACATTTTAATCTTTTTTTTTCCACCACTGGATTGAACCCAGTGGTGCTCTATCACTGAGCTACATCCCCAACCCTTTTCATTTGAGACAGGGTCTCACTAAGTTGCCCAGGCTGGCCTCTAACTTTTGATCCTCCTATCTCTGCCTCCTGAGTTGCTGGGATTACCGGCATGTGCCACTCCACCTGGCCAAATTGTAATCTTTTTTGTGTAAAGGCACTCAGTAAAACAACTGACTCTGTGAAGGTATATAGCCAAACAAATAAACAGAAAAAGGCCTAAAAATATACATACCAATTTTCAAAGTGTTTGCCTCTGGGAAGTGCAACTGGGACTGGGGGAATGGATAACTCTCACTTTTCATTTTGAAAATAGCTTTTGGATTACTCAAATTTGTGTAAGTTACTTTTCTAATAAGCAGGATAGAGAACTTTAAAAAGTTCTGAAAGAAGAAAACAGAAGTAAACATTCATCAAAACTCTTGATGAGGGAGACTTCCTAACTGAGAAGACACAGATCAGATGAGGAAGGATGAGCTTTTTAAAGGAATGATTTCAATCCTTACATTAAGGTAAATGAATTTTGACTGAAGCTCTGAAATAATTGAAAAAGTTCATTTTTTCAACAAATGCTGTTGGGACCACTGGATTTCTATATACTAAAGAATGAAGTTAGAAGTGGGCACAGTGACTCGGGAGGCTGAGACAGGAGGATCCAAGTTCAAAGCCAGCTTGGATATTATAGTAAGAAACTGTCTCAAAATAAAATAAATCTTTTAAAAATGGCTGGGGCCAGGGCTGGGGATATAGCTCAGTTGGTAGAGTGCTTGCCCAGCATGCAYAAGGCCCTGGGTTCAATCCCCAGCACCACACACACAAAAAAAAAAATATATGGCTGGGGCCAGGCAGGATGTCCCATGCCTGTAATCCCAGCAGCTTGGGACACTGAGGCAGGAGGATTGTGAATTCAAAGCCAGCCTCAGCAACTTAACAAGGCCCTAAGCAACTCAGCAAGGCCCTAAGCAACTCAGCAAGACCCCATCTCTAAATAAAATACAAAAATGGGCTGGGGATGTGGCTCACTGGTTGAGTGCCTCTGGGTTCAATACACAGCACCCCACCCCAAAGGAAAAAAACAAAGATACATTGAGCTACATACAATGAGCTTCATTAATATAAAACCTTTTTCAAAACAACAACAAAAACTGTCAAAAAAGTGAAAAGACAACCCATGAACAGGAAGAAATATTTGATCATCTATTCATATAATAGTCTAGAATAAAGAACTCTTTTTAAAAAATATTTATTTTTTTAGTTGTTTAGGTGGACACAATATCTTTATTTTATTTTTATGTGGTGCTGAGGATTGAACCCAGAGCCTCATGCATGCTAGGCTAGCACTCCACCCCTGAACCATAACCTCTGTCCTAGAATAAAGAATTCTTACAATAATAAAAAGGCAAAATTTTTAAATGGGTAAAGGTTTTAAGTAGATATTTCTTCAAAGAAGATATACAAATGGCCAACAAATACATGAAAAGATACTCAACATCATAAGTCATTAGAGAAGGGCAAATCAAACTGCAATGAGATACCACTTCAATGTCCATCAAGATGGCTATAGTAAAAAAAGACAGGTGTGATTACATGCACTTGTGATCCCAGTTACTCAGGTGGCACTTAGGCAGGAGGCTCTAGAGTTCAAGGTCAACCTCTATAACTCAGTGAGAGCTCCTTTTCAAAATAAAAACAAAAACGAAGTTTTTTCATTKTTTTTAAAGACAGATAATAAAAAGTGTGAAGAAACTAGAACCTTCATATCAACTTCTGGGAATGTAAAATGGTACAGACACTTTGAAAAAGAGTCAGTTCTTTAAATGATACTATATGACCCAGCAATATATTCATATAAATTATCTCCACATAAAAACTTGTACAGAAGCATTTTTCAAAAAATAGCCTCAATGTGGAAACACCCAAATATCCATCAACTTATGAATAAATAAAAATGTGGTATATCCTACAATGGAATATTATTCAGCCATAAAAAGAAATCAAGTACAGATTTATGCTACAACATGGATGAACCTTGAAAATATTATGCTACTAAAAAGAAGTCAGTCAAAAAGGCCATGTATATGAAATGTCCAGAAAACAAATTTATGAAGACAGAAAGATTTACAGATGCCAGGGTCTAGGGGAAGACAGAAGAGGGTGTTTCTTTAGGGGATAATGAAATGTTCTGAAATGATATAGTGGTAATGGGTGTAAAACTCTGTGAATATACTAAAACCACTGATATATTTTGAAGAGTGGATTTTATGTAACTTTTTTTTTTTTTTTTTTTGGTACTAGGGATTGAACCCAGGGGCACTTAACTGATTCACATCCCCAGCCCATTTTTATTTTGATACACAGTCTTGCTAAGTTGCTTAAGGCCTTTCTTAAGTTGTTGAGGATGGCTTTGAACTTTCCATCCTCCATCCTCAGCCTCCTGAGCTGCTGGGATTATAGACATACACTACTGAAACTGGCTGTATCAATTTTTAAGAAAAACATCTTCATATTTTCACTAGGAAAAGAAACATCATTTTTACAATTCTGAAAACAGAATTCAGAGAGCCACTGCATAATTACCTGAATAAGAAAGGCTGTGTCCACAGCCTGGGAATGTCCAAGGTCATCGATGTAAGTTTCCTGGTAGAGGTCTGACATTGTCACCAGGCGGACCAGAAACATGGTGCTTATAATGGCCATGATGGCAGCTGATGCAGTCAATGTCAAAAGGTAGATGAGGAAGTACCTGGTATTCCAGGCCCCGATGCAGGTGTTCACCCAAACACAGTGATGGTCAAAACGGTGCACACACCAATTACACACACCTGCACAGAGAAGAGGGAGCCACAGACTGAGTTTGTCCTTGATGAGACATGACACCATGTGCACTTTTACAAGGTGACCAATGGCAATAAGAGTGTGTGGAGGAAGGTGGGGCAGTGGCAGTTGCTATCACCAAGCTTTTAGAACCATAGAGTCCACCACAGTAGCCACTAGCCACATGTGGGTATGGAGCACTGCAACATAGTTAAAAGAAAAATATGAAAGAATACTTTGTCAATACTGACAATTTTACAGTTGTTTGCAATTTATACAATACTATTTTGAATTCAGTGTGAATAATACTGAGGTAACATGAGAGGTGGTGAACTTACTTAACATGAACAGTATGAACATGAATAAATGAACGTATAGTTTTATTTATTTTTGCAGTGCTGGGGAATCAAACCCAGGGCCTTGTGCTTGACAGGCAAGCATTCTACCACTGGGCCACATYCCTAGCCCCAAATATGATTTTAAAACTGATGGCTTTGGGCCGAGTTGTGGCTCAATGGTGGAGCACTTGGCTGGCATGTGTGAGGCTCTGGGCTCGATCCTCGGCACCGCATATAAATAAAAAAATAAAAGATCCACTAAAAAAAATCAAAACAACTGATGGCTTTGCTTTAAAATCAAGTCAGTTCTTCTGATAAAGATGAACCATTTAGTCAATGTAGATTTTCACAGGAAAATAAAATGTTTTGGTACTTAATTCACTTATTAGAAAACTTTTAAGAGTGTCTGGATATAGTATAAGTGTTTAAGTCTACTCTTTCAACTATAAATTTTATGAAATCTAAATTCAGGTCAAGAACTTCCAATGAGAACTTAGYACCTGAATGGATATGTGCTATAAAAGTAAAATACACCAGATTTCAAAGACTTAGTATGAAAAAAAGAACACAGCTAGGTGCAGTGGCACATGCCTAATCTTAGCAGTTGGAAAAGCTAGGCAGGAGGATTACAAGTTTGAGGGCAGCCTCATCCATTTAGCAAGACCCTGCCTCAGGAAAAAAAAAAAAAAAAAAGTAAAAAGGACTGGAGACAAAGCTCAAGTGGTAAAGCACCCGTGGATTAGAACTCCAGTACTAGGAAAAAATTAAAATAAAAAATAAATTTAAAGGGTTGGGATTGTGGCTCAGTGGCAGAGCACTTGCCCGGCATATGTGAGGCAATGAGTTCATCTCAGCACCACATATAAATAAATAAAATAAAAGTCTATCAACAACAACAATAAAAAAAATCTTTAAAAAATAAATAAATAAATAAATTTAAAAACAGACTGATGCTGGGCATGGCAGATCATACCTGTAAGCCCAGCAGTTGGAGGATCAAGAGTTCAAAGTCTGTCCCAGCAACTTAATGAGGCCCTGTCTCTAAATAAAATATGAAAAAGGGCTGAGGATGTGGCTCAGTGGTTCAGGGCCCCTGAGTTCAATCTCCAATACAAAAAAACAAAACAAAGCAAAAAAACATATGGGAGGGGAAGAAGGTGCTGGGGATGTAGCTCAGTGGTAAGGCACTCCTAGGTTCAACCCCCAGTACCAGAAAACAAAAAGGAAAAACGTAAATTACCTCATGAATATTTTTACATTGATTATACATTAAAATTGTATTTTATTTTTTTTTTAATTTTTTTGTTACATATGATAGTACAATGACTAAAATTGTATTTTAGGCCTCGGGCTGAGGTAGAGCTTAGAGGTAGAGCACCTGCATGATATGTATGAGGTCTGGGTTCAATCCCCAGGGCCACCAAAAATATATATATATATATTTCAGGACATGGGTTTAAATAAAATATGTGATTAAGTAATTGCTTCTTTTGCAATAAGGCTACTAGAAAATTTTAAACCACATATGTGACTCACGTAATATTTTTGTCAGATAGGAAACAGCCTAGAACCTTAGGCATTCCCTAGAAGACTAGACTTAGCTAGGGCTAAAATCTGCACACAGCAGACCATAAAAGCATCTCTCCCATAGCAAAAGAGAGCTATTATGCCTAGGGTTGAGGGTGGCCACTGTGCAAAAATATACAACCTTACCCTCAAGTCATCTGAAAGAAACCACCATCTGGCCTCCAACAGGAGCAGACAACCCACATGTGGGAATCAAATGGCTTTCTTTTTAGATTCATGAAATACCACCTTACAGATAAAGCCCATGCATGCACTTGGGAGGGTCCACTGGAGCCGAATAGCCACACTCACTGCAGTGCTTGGATCGAGCTGGTTTCCTTAAGTCACAAGTAGAACACCTTGCATTCTTTGGAAACATAACTTCATCAAATTCATAAACTTGAAGAAATAATAATTCATTTTCTTTTGTTATGGTGCCTGAAAAAGATAAGGACAAATGCTAGTTTCAAGCAATATGTAGAYGGGATAGTCACAAAGCCTGTCCCAATACAATAGAACTAAAACTGCTATATTTAATATTTTAGGTAATTCATTTTTTATATCTGCTTTGACATATAATCCATAGATTCAATTCAAAGTATACAACTCACTGGTTTTTAGTATATTCAGAGTTATRCCATCATTATCATAATCAATTTTAGAATATGATCACCTGAAAAAGAAACCCATTAGCAGTCACTGCCTACTTCTAATGTCCCCAGGCCCTAGAAACTGCTAATCTATTTTCTTTCTCTATGGATTTCCTTTTCTGGATCTTCATATAAATGAAATCATATAATTTATGGGTTTTTTTTTTTTTTTTTKTGTGTGTGTGTGTGTGTGTGTGTCTGGCTTCTTTCATCAGCATGTTTTTATGGTTCAGATAAGTTAGAGCCTGAATCTATACTTCATTCTTGTTCTGCTTTGCAGTGCTACAGATGGAACCCAGGGTTTCTCTTATGGTAAGCAAGTGCTCTTCCACTGGCTCCCACCACAGCTTCTAGTCTTTTTTATGGCTGAATAATGGTCCATTGGATGGGTTTATCACATCTTTTTACATTCATCACTTAATGGACATTTGGTGTTTCAAGGACCTTAAAGTATAAAAGTAAAATAATAGGACAGAAAAAAAAATTACTAAGCACAGTATAATAAAATTAAAACCAGACAAAAGAGACTTGAGAGCATAGAGCATTAGCTATGATAAAGAGGCTTGATTTATTTTGAAAAAAAGACTGAAAGATTGTGAAGTATTATCCACAAGGAAAGGATAATACCAACTCTAAACATGACAATGTATTTAGTAGGAATATATATGTGCAGCAAGAAAACTAACAAACTATGTAGAAAAGCCATCAGAATGAGATAACATTGCTGAGAAACTGACTAATTAAAAAAAAACTAGTATGGATATAAAAGATTTGAACATAATTAACAAATCTGATGTAATATGACTCTTGTTGAATACAGTGGTGCATACCTATAATCCCAGTGACTTGGGAGGCTGAGATAGAAGGATCACAAGTTGGAAGCCAGCCTCAGCAACTTAGTGAGGTGCACAAAAACTTAGCAAGACCCTGTCTCAAAATTTAAAAAAATAAAATAAAAAGAACTGGGGTCACCATTTAATGGTAAAGCATTCCTGGGTTCAATCCTCAATACAAAAAAACAAAACAGGGGCTGGAGTTGTAGCTCAGCAGTAGTGTGCTTGCCTCGTACATGTGAGGTACTGCATTCAATTCCCAGCACCACATACAAATAAGCAAATAAAATAAAGGTCCATCAACAACTAAAACAAACAAACAAAAAAGCCAAAAACTTAGAAAAYATAAACTCTTTTCAAGCACATATGGATCATTGCAAAAACTGACCACATACCCAAGCATAATGCAAGTCTCAAAAAATTTTTAAAAGGGAACATTATCATTCTGAACATATGTTCTACACATATACAATCAACCAAAATAAGATAAGCTTATATATATGTGTTTGTGTGTGTGTGTGTGTGTAAAGAGTTCTAAGTAACCCTTGGGTCAATGACAAAATAAAAAACTGGAAATATGCCAGGTGCTATGGTGCATTCCTGTAATCCCAGTGACTTGGTAGGTTGAGGCAGTAATATTGTAAGTTCAAAGCCAGCCTCAGCAACTTAGTGAAGCACTTAGCAACTCAGTGAGACTCTGTCTCTAAATAAAATATTTTAAAAGGGCTGGGAGGGCGGGGGTTGTGGCTCAGCAGCAGAGTGCTTACCTGGCATKTGTAAAGCACTGGGTTCCATCCTAGGCAACACATAAAAATAAATAAATAAATAGATAGATTAAATAAATAAATAAAAAGGGCTAGGGATGTTGCTCAGTGGTTAAGCACCCCTTGGTGCAATCCCTGGTACAAGGAGGAAAAAAAAAAACAACTGGAAATATAAAGTTAATAAACCCATGACACACAAAATCCTTTGCAAACTTCTCAGAGAAACCACTACTTGTTTGCAGCACTATCAGTAAAATAGTTGAGCTGTCTCAGTCTGTATGCTAAGAGCCTCAACTTACCAGGATTGGTTAAACAAGTTAGGGTRAAGAAAATCAGGCATATAATTAGCAACAAATACGGCAGAAGAAGGTAATACAGAGAGAATTCCAGCTCTTGACAGTAGCCAAATATTTCCCAGGTATATTCAGTATAAACTGTCCCTTGCAAGACCAGGTGCAGGATAATGAAGGCATGGTTGCTGAAAGGAAACAAGCACAGCTTATTCATAAGGTTGCTCCATTAAGAAACTGTACAAAAGGAAAAAAACTAACCAAGGGCCAACCATGTCCTTTAAAAATTAACTAAGAAACCATTTCACTCTTTAAATAGGTATTTTCAAGTAGATATTAATATCCCAGAGACGGAAGGCAGATTATCCATGAGTAGAGAGGCTCTGAACCCAGCATCCTTCCCATGCTGGAAACCACAGGAGCTTCCTGTAGCTACAGATTAGTAACAATTAATAATCAAGACAAAAATAGAGGATCCCATTTGAACTCTGAACTGTAAATACCGTGTATGGAAGAGGTAATGAAGCAATTTTCTCASGGCTCTCTGAATGCATTCTGGAATTATACAGGAACATATCTGAAAATTAAAAATTAAAAAAAGTTCAATTTCATTTCTCACCACCACCCCCATTCCCACAATATCGATGCTCCACATACAACTGGTAGCTTTGTTTCCTCCTATAGGTAGTAAAACAACTTAAAAGAGAATTTTTAAGAGAGAGAGAGAGAGAGAGAGAGAGAGAGAGAGAGAGAGAGAGAGAGAGGCTTCCTTCTAGTGGCTTGCCTTTGATGCCAATTCTTTCACTCCTACCCTGACCCCCAAAATGATACCTGTCAGGTGTACCTTCATGGAAAGAATGGTAAGCAGAAGTTCAGGAGATGCTGATGTGAAGGCTGCTCCTTCCCCTGCCCTGGATTCAGTCCACCCCCGCCCATCACCAGTACAAAAAAACCTTAGCCTAGGTCCCTCCCACATCAACCTCTTCCCATGAGCAGCTTGCCCCAATTTTGCTCACTTTGACCCTTAACGGAGAGAAGGCAGACAGAAGCTCAGCTTTCAGAGCACACATCCYCAGTTTCACCTATCAAGTACCTCCAGAAGAATTCTGCTCATGTCTATGCCCAATTACAGGCATCATATCCAGAATTTAAGAGCCAAACTTAAGAATGCTATCTTATCTCAAAGCATCATCACAAAGATTACTTTCAGCAGTAACAAAAACAAAACAGATAAACTGTGGAATACACTAAAACTTCCATAAATGAAAGACTAAATAAACCAATGAATTTAAATGGCATCTCTTTCTTGTCCTGTTGAGAAACCAGTAAGTCCTTTAGATTAGGRCAATGTTCAAACTTGAGTGTTACCTGTGTTCCTCCCTGGACCAGACCTTTCAAATGGTTGGTTTTGGAGCAAATGCAGACCATAACAACACTAACCAGCATGAACACCAAGTAGAACAARAAGAGAATCAGGAAGTCCATCATGGTGGCTGTAAAGGAACAGAAAGAGTATGACTAGCTACTACTGAGGGATTTACACTATGGTACACATTCTCAGACATCAACTCCAGTTCTCAAAACAGAATTCCCTGCCCTCAGGCACATGCCACAGAGCCCTACTACTTTCAGTGGGGCCTCTTAGATCATCCTGAGCTCTCTTTTTCAAGATGAACACTGTGGCCTGCCTTTGGGGCATTTCCTGCCTGCAAATTCCAAGATAAAGTGAAGAAAAATGTGGGTACACCTTCCTTTCCCACAATAACAAATCTTTCTTTTACTTCCTTAAATATTCATATAGATACTGATACAGAAAGTACTCCCCAAAATCTGATGACAACATCATCTAMACAGGTAGCTCCTGGAGGAAGTCAGGGGGCCTATACCCAGCACCAGGCATCATGTTCTATAAAGCACCCCTTCAGGTCAGTGGCCACAACTCTCAGGGATCACACACAGGAAACAATATATGGACCTGTGTTAAGAAACTGGAAGTGGTTACTTTGGCTCTTAGCAGACAGGATTCTGGACCGGGATTGAAACTTGAGATAATCAAACCAGAAACTGTTCATGATATGACAAGAACCGAAAAACAGCAATTCGCACTCATGAAGTAATTCAACGTCTCCTGCGTACATATTTCTGTTGGTTGTATGCTTTATCAGCTGGTGGCTCGGACACTCCTCTTTCCAAACATCCATRGAGAATTAAGGTGGCAGATCCGCTTCCGCAGTGGTGTGCCCCTGGTACAACAGGCAGCATCCAAAACTGCAGGAGCCGTGGTTCCTTCAGGAGGTCGGATCCGACTGCAGAGACAGATGGGTTCAATATTCGCATATTGAGATAAGTGTTGGAGTTGGCAGCAGAATGCATTGTGGAAAAGGATTTGCAAGTAGGGGATGTTGAGCCCCCCCCCCCCCGGGCGTGAACGACTTATAATGACTTCTGAAGAAACAGCCTTGGGTCTACCCCTCGTTATCCCTACCCTTGAGGCACCCATGCTGGAGGCCAGGCAGAGCGAGGACAAGAACTCTCTATCCGAGGCTCCCAGGCCTGGCTCGAGCTTTCCCCGAATGCGGGAACTGCGTAGGGGGTGGGGAAAGGCAGGTGGCAGCAGGCTGAAGGTGGAATGTAGCAGCCCGGGAAAGGACAGGTGAGGCCAGGGAAAGGGAGCAGGTGACAGCTGACTTGGAGGAACGCAGGGAGCAGCGGTTGGAGGAGACACGGGGGCGCCCGGGCGGGATGGAGATAGCACTGAGGCACTCTCACACACCAGGGAGAGGGGGAAGGCTCAAAAATGGGGACCGAAGACCCTGAGCAAGCAGGGGTGACAACSCCGCAGAACCAACCTTACCCCCAGCCTCCACCACGAAGCCGGGACCAAGCCGGTGCCCTCAGGAGACTTCCGGCAAACCGGTGACGTCATCGCAGCGCCCCCCCCCCCGCAAGGCCTACTTCCGGCGGAAGTAGGAGCCGGAGGCTGTGGGTTGTGGGGTTGCAGGATTTGGTGCTGCCAGGAAGTGGGATTTGGGGAACTGTTTGCAGATTTACTAGAGTTCCACAGTGGGTCTGACGCGGGAGGGTGCTRCGGCTGGGAATCGGGCCGGGCCGCCTCAACCGTGGCCCGGGTCCTAGCCGAGCAGGGGGCCCAGAGCGGCCGCGCTTTGGAGATTCCTGTCCTATTACCGTGCCTTCGCGGCGGACCGCTTGCTCACAGCCAGCAGCACCGTTAGGATTTGCCCGAACCATTCCAGCATCTTCCACCGCAGAAGGCACACTATGTGACCGGCTGGGTCATATTCCGCTCCTCGCGCATCCCTGCTTCTGCTCTCTGTACAGCTCTGAGCATCCTCCCCCTGGAGGCAGTGACTAGTGCTTGACCAGAAGCCTTGAGGATGAAAGAGAAGGCTGTTTTGATGATAGTCAGTCTTGGGGCGAGAAGAGCTGCTTCCAAACATAGCATGGAGAAGGCCCCTGTGGAGTGTTCCTTAGCTCTAAACGTTTCCAAATCCACTGAGAACTGTCTATTGATGCCTTTGAAAACCTGAGCCAGGATGGTTCTTCCTTTGAGGAGAAATATCTGGTCTCCAAACACTGGGCTCAAAGCTCTTTCCCTGTTTGTCTTTGCTGCCTGACCCAGCTACTTAATTTCCACCCCCCACACCCCGCTTCTACTTTTTTTTTTTTAAGAAAAAACTTACTAAGCTGCGCACCTATTGAATACATTATATTCAAGGCCTTGACCAGTGAGAACTAGTAATGGATAAAGCTCAATCTCACATCCAGAGTTGGGGCTGGATTTCATCTGTCTCCAGCTGATTTCACCCTGTTGGTTAAAACTGAGCTAATACCTGGTGGTTAAAAAAATTAAATTGTTTTCTTTTTTGTTCATAAATGCAGAACTTTATTTTTTATCCCTTTTTCTTTTCTCTGGATGGCTTCAGTTCAGACTTTGAATCTTGACTTGATCACCTATTGTATTGTGCTGGGCTGCCTTCCTTTAATTTAAAAAAATATATGTGCAAAAAATACAATATATTCTTCCTGTGAAAGAGTCAAAACTATCTAAAACAAAACCTTCCGTAATCAGTATTCCCAAATTCCAATCCCTGGATGGAATTACTTTTAGTGTATATCCTCCAAAGCCCTCTTCTATGAATTTATACATATATATTCATTTAACACAGGTATGATGAGTGCCAAATGTGTCCTAGGTGCTGTTATATATAGGCCCTGGGAACATAGCAATAAACAATAAACAGACCCTGTCTCTAAATACAATGCAAAATAGGGCTGGGGACGTGGCTCAGTGGTCGAATGCCCCTGAGTTCAATCCCCAGTACCATATATATATAAATAAACTTCTACTTTATTAMGGAGTATTTCTATATACATAGAACAATATGAATTTTATTCACTTATAAGGTTTACATAGTGCACACAATTTTGAACTTTACTTTTTTATTTACCTTTATAACAAGTATTTTTCATCTAACAAGGTAGTTTTATTTATTACTCAGTTACAGTATAATGAACTTAACATTTTATTATTGTTGGAAATTGTATTATTTCATACTTTTTAATGTTATGGGTAGTTTTGCAACTAGCATATTTATAGCTTTTTTTTTTTGGTGTGTGTGTGTGTGTGTGTGTGTGTGGTGCTGGGGATTGAACCCTGGGCTTTGTGCATGCAAGGCAAGCACTCTACCAACTGAGCTATATCCCCAGYCCATATGTATAGCCCATATTTACAGCCCATATTTACAGCTTTTTATTTATTGATTTTTAATTTATTTTTCAGTGCTAGGAACCAAACCCAGGGCCTCACACATGCTTGGCAAGCACTCTACCACCGAGCTACATCTCCAGACCGATAGCTTCCCAACCCCTCTCTTGGGCTCGTGCTCACCTAGCACGTGCAAGGCCCTGGGTTCGATCCCTAGAACTGCAAAAATAAAAGCAAACAAAAACTCAAGATGAATCTCTCAGTGGTTGGTCAGTTCCTGAAAATCATGTACWTCTAGCATTTTATTTTTCCTTTCTGTTCTTCAAAACCTCTAATCACAAATATTAAGGCCTGTATTTTATAAGTAGAATAGAAGAAAACACACCAAGCCTAAAACAAAAAATTTAATTCAAGTGTGATAGGAAGGATTGTATCATCTTTGATGCATGTGGCAAATAATCCCTATTAGGAGTATTCCTGAACCTTCTTGTCAGCCCCTGAAACTAAACCTGTGGTATCAGTTTTTTACCTGCTGCAAGATCAGTTGACAGGATCAATCACCTTTTGCACCATGCTCTCTTCTCCCCAAGGGAATGACTTTTCCAATACTTTGGAAATGGGATACAGGACTTTAGTGCTGCTCCTTTACAGTGATTTGTTAGTGGTGAGAATTTTGCAACAGAGAAACAAAGAAGAAAAAAGAATTGCAAGGAAAGTATTTTTGTTGAAGGGCAAGAACTGGATGTGTGTTGGCTTACTATTATGCCAATAGTAACTATTTTAGTGCCTAGATCATAGTAGATGCTCAATGTGTTGAATGAGAGAAAAAGGGTAAATCACACTGGAGAGAAATCTGTGTCTTAGCTARTACTAAAAGAAAAAGTGCTCTGGCCAGTAGGTGGCGCGACAAGTGTCGCTGTTAAGTGACTTGGAGCACATAGTATGGGTACCCAATTCACACTTTAGAATTCCCACTTGCCTTTGCTRCTGTGATTTCTGTCTCTTAAAGCACTGTGCTCAGGCACCTCTGGAAGGGAGTGGTCAGGGCAGAATCTCCACTGCCTGACTTATTTCTGAACTGGTCTGAACTGGCACAGCTCAGTGTTCTTTGGTCATCAGGCTTCCTGACTTCCAGTCAAGGATCTTTTCTTCTGCCCATGTGGCTTTAAACCAATTTCTCCACCTCTCTGAGCCTTGGTTTCTTCATTTGTAAAGTGAGGATAAGAGAATCTACCTCAAAGGGTTGTTACGAGGGTTAAATAAGATAATGCACCTAAAGGAAATTTAATAAATATTGACCATAATATTGTAGATGCAATTCTCAACATTAACAAATATGATCAACACAGAAAAACAAAGCAGAAAGTAATTCTGGTGCAAGAGATTTGGCATATCAAGACATTTTGTGTTATCAGTAATAGTAAGCCCAACTCAATCTGGACTAAATAACAAATAAGACTTCTTGTCCTCTGCCACAGGAATGTCCAGAGACAGGGTGACTTCAGGAATGGTCTGAGTCAGTACTTAATGACATCATCAAGAACAGAGCTGTTTTGTTCCTCACTCTGCCAGTGGAGYATCAACTCCATCTCCAAACCAGCCTTCCTCCTGGTGGTAAAATAGCCGCCAGTCACYGTTGTGACTTCATGCTTCCATATTCATATCCAATGAAGGGAGAATGGGAGGATGTCTACCCTAGCATTCCAGATAGGAGTGCTGAGATTAACTTTGATTGGACTGTCTTGGGTCAAAAAGATTTACTCCTGAACCAATGATAGAGTCAGAAAATGGAATGTGCCACTTAATGTGAGTTGAACAAGGTCCCCTGCTGTATCTGCAGGGAAGATAGTTTCTCCCACAGCACATGAGCTGCTCAGGGAATGGGAGAATTTCAGAAAGGCCTGGGTGATACTAGGAAGAAGCATGCATTCTGCATAGGCCATTGATAATTGGGCATCTAACAAGTTGTGATGTCTGGAACGATGAGAGAAATATGTCCAAAAAAAGTCCCCCAAAGTTAAGATTAAGCCCTGTATGGATAAAGGCACAACATCGAAAATGTGGAATGCTCTGGGGCCCAGCAGTAACTTGTTAGGTGTCCTTYTCTTCCCAGACTCAAAGGCAAATCTATTAATAAAATCCCTTCCTGGCAGCCACCTCCTGGTGCAGATTCAAGGAAATGTGCCTTCAAAGGCAGGGGAAAGAAATTTTATCCACAAAGCTGCAGTCGCACAGTGGTCCAAGGTCACCCCCAGAGGATGCAATTCCTTAGGAGCAAGAGAATGTAAAGAGAGAAGAGGTGGAGGTGCTCCAAGCCCACAGAGTACAGGAAAAGAGGATGGCAAAGAAGACCAAGTTCAAATTGTCAAAGAAGTAGGAGAACCAGGTCAGAGGGGCACTGTGGAAGTCAAACAGAAGAGATTCACTCTGATCTCTCCAGGGAAGTGCAAACAGGTGAGAGCAATGGGAGGGGCTAGTAGGAGCCACCAAATGTCCCCAGGGGAATGCAAAGGTAGCCTGCTATCCTGCCCTGATGATGACTGTAGACTAACCTACCAGGTTCTAAAGCTACCTTGACCACAGGAGTCAGGAGGAGCAATGTTGTTTGCTACATTTATTTATATCACTTTGTCCAGGCATGATTGGGGGTGTCTTGCACAGACACAGAAAATAAGATAAAACAACTTTAAAGTGAGTGGAGGGCAGAACAAGACAAAGGGAGAATTCAAGTAAGAAACACAAGGTAAGCCAGGAGCTGATCCCACTCTATGGAGGAAGTTAGGTGCTCAGAGAGGCCAACATCAAGGTTCATGGATCAGCACTGGACTGTGAGGTAGGTGATAAATGAAACTTGGTTATATGAAATCACTGAGATTGGAGGCTGTTTGTTACAACAGCTAGCATTATGATACTAATACACTACCCAAATTGGTGGTAGTGAAAGCATAGCACAGCCCAGTGCCACCCATTAAGCCTGTCCTCGAAATGCCATTATACCATTGGTCAACCTCAGCTCAGTCATGGGGATGGACAATCATCTGGAACAACCCCTTCCCCCACTCCTGCAGACTGTCACACCCACCCTACCCTTGTCCTCAAGGTCTTAAGGGTACAATGCAGACACACAGAGATCTGGGCAGGAGTACATGACTGCAATATATAAATCCTCACTTTGGACTCCATCTCCTCATCCCTGAGTGGC